ACCCACTTCTATTCGCTTGCCTTTAACACGTTGTGATTTGTTTTGGTCCGGTCTGTTCTCTACTCTGTTGGACATTTTAGTTAAGCTTCTGCTGCTATTTGTATCTGTATTTCTATTTTATGTTTTCCTGTCTGCTGTGCATGTTTGTTTCTTTTGTACAGCACTTTGGTTGGCCTTGTTACTGTTTTAAGTGCTATATAAATAAATTGGTATGGTATGGTTAATGAGAAGCAGCTGCAGCACCTGGACTGAAGCAGCAGCAGCTTGTCCTGAAGTAGCTCCTGCACCCCAGCGGGTCATTTAAGGACAGGACGAAGCCAGGATCGGAACCGAACCTCGACCCAGTGAGCTCATTTCCCCAACACTCAGCCTTTCTCTGCACAAATACTGATGAACGGAACTTTTCCAAAATGCACTTTGCATCAGTATAAAAGTAGACACATTTAAGATTTTTCACTTTATTTGTGTGTGGAAAGTCGCCGTGGGATGACGTCACGACGTAATACATCGAATAATGACGCAGCTTGATGAAAAAAAAAAATCAACCGATAAAAGATATCAGAGAACTGGGTCAGAAAAGAGCTCCGCACCGACGGTTCTGTTATAAGTTTCTTCAGCGAAGTGTCTGTGAGACGTCGGGAGGTTAATGAAGACCCGCTTCTGCTGATAAACGGCCCGCTCTGAGATGTCCGGTGTTTGTCAGCATCGTTAACCGACAGCTGCGGCCGTTAAACCGGTCCGTGTGCTGCCGCCGCTCCGCCGGGCTGCGGCTCAATGGTTAGCCCGAGGACAGAGCCACACATCCCGCCACCAGAGAGAGCCTGAAGGGCTGTGCCGCCGACACCCGGAGAGAAAGCCCTCGTCGCTTCGTCTCGCCCGGTAGCGACACAGACAGCACATTTGTGTAGGAGTTTTCCGCCCGCCGGGCTAGCGCTGTTAGCTCCCCTCATCCAGTTCATGTGGAGCCGAATCACTCATCCTCACATTATCACGTTATGGCTGCTTAATAACAAAATGGCTGCTGTCTCCACATTCCGTCGAGCTGGTTCAGATACTGTACCTCACAAAGTAACAATACACGAACGACATTAGGGGATAGTTTTACTGCTGTCTCAGGGTAAATACACCTGTGCAGGTAGACACGTCTCCAGTGTTTCTTCTAAACAGGTCAGGCGGGCCACAATGTAAATGGTCGGTAAAGTTATTCAGGTTTTGTTATTTAATCTTTTTAAAATTTATTAAACAGTCCTTGTTTTCCTACTATGTCCACTGAGTACCGTGTAATTAGATAATAGTGTTTTTGTCAAACTGTCTCCAAAATAGATTTTTAGACATTATTTATTTTTCGAAACTTCTTAAGTTGAATCAGTTTTTTGTAGTGGCGGTAAACTGAACATGCTCATTTGAATTAATATCTTCTCTTGTGTCCTAACTGGGCTGCATGGTTAGACAATATGTGTCTGCAGCTGCATATTGATGACAGCATGTGTTGTAGATGAATAAACATGTTCTGTCATGAGCCGCAGGATAACTTTTACATCTCACTTGTGCATTTGCACATTCAATGAATTTGCTTTGAGATCTGGATGTTATGCAAACATTTGAAATGTATACATTCACATACAGGGCAGCACGGTGGCGCAGCTGGTAGAGCCGCTGCCTCTCAGCGAGAAGGTTGCCGGTTCAAATCCCGGTCCGGGGGGCCTTTCTGGGTGGAGTTTGCAGTTTTCTCCCACAGACTAAAAACATGCATGTTAGGCTGATTGGTAACTAAATTGTCTCTAGGTGTGAGTGGGAGAGTGAATGGTTGTTTGTCTCTATGTGTCCCTGTGATGGACTGGAGACCTGTCCAGGGTGTCCCCCACCCCTCGCACAGTGATTGCTGGACATGGGCACTGGCGACCCCCGTGACCCAAAATGGAATAAGCGGGTAAAGATAATGGATGGAATTTAATGTACATAAACATTTATACATGCCGATAAAAGCTCTGACTAGACAGAGGTTTGTGCATGGTGGGGGGTGGGGGTGTCTGTCACTGAAGAACCCAGGCCTTGTTGATGAGGTTTGCAGCAGTCGACATAAAACATGTTTCTGTGGAAGGAGGTTCTGGTACTGATGGGTCGCAGCCTCCTGCCATAGGGGAGTAGTTCAAACTGGGTGTTTGGAGTGGGAGGTGTCATCTGCAATCTTGCCTCAAAGTTCTGGAGGAGTGCAGGTCCTGCACAGATGGCAGGTTGCAGCCAGTCATTTTCTCAGTAGTCCTGATGATGCTCTGCAGCCTGCCTCTGTTTTTGGAGGTGCCAGCAGTTTACCACAGTGATGGAGGAGGTGGGGATCGAGGAGGTGGCAGCAGTGTAGAAGTTCACCATAAATTACTTTGACAGGTTGAACTTCTACCACTGCTGCAGGAAGGACTTCCTCTGTTAACCCTTTCTGATGAGGGAGCTGCTGGTCTGCTCCCATTTGAGGTCCCGGATGATGATGGTTCCCAGGAGCTGGGGGGACTCCTCAGAGATGGCTGTGGGGTCACACGGAGTGAGGTGGCAGATGCTCTTTGTAAACTCTTCTGTCATCTCCACTGTCTTCAGAGCTTGGAGCTCCATGTTGTTCGCCCAGCACCAAGACACCAGATGGTCAATCTCCCACCTGTAAGCCATCTTATCTGAGAAGAGACCGATGAGGGTGGGGGCATCGGCAACTTCATGAGTTTGACAGATTGCTCTGTCAAACTTCTGAATGTGCACGAGTTGGTGTACAGGGGGGAGTGGAGAAAACACCGCCTTGGAGGGATCTAGGGCCGGTGATACAAGGTCTGAACCCCCCCCCCCCCCCCCCCCAGCTTAATGTGTTGCTTCCTGTCAGACGGGAAGTTTGTGATCCACCTGTAGGTGGAGTCAGGCTTGTTCAGCTGGAGAAGCTTGTCCTGTAGCAGAAAGGAGATGGTGTTGAAAGCAGAGCTGAAAAACAAAATCCTGGCGTAGGATGCTGGGGAGTCCAGATGCTAAAGGGTGAATTGGAGGTCCATGGTGAGCATCACCAACAGACCTGTTGGCTCTGTAGGCAAAGTGCAGAGAGTCCTGGGGGAGTCCTTAATGGATCTGACTTCATTGACTTGATGACCACCAAGGTCAGAGTGATGGGTCTGTAGTCATTTAGTCCAGTGTTGCATGGTTTCTTCATGACAGGAGTAATGGTGGAGTCCTTGAATAGGTCTTGCATGTGGCATGACTTCAATGACCATGAACTAGACAAACAGCTGATTGGTGCAGTGCTTCAGAGATGGAGTCAGGCCCTGCCGCCTTGGAGGAGTTCTGCCTCCTGAAGCTCCTGTTGACACCTCCCTCCAGCAAGGAGAGGTGTGATGGAGGAGGAGGAGAGGTGTGCTGTGGTGGCTGAGCAGGGACCCAGACTGACTGACTACTGTTTGTGCCTACAATTAATGGAATCATGTTCAGCCATTTTTAATGAGATATTGTTAAATTATTTTGGTATACATGTTGGAATGGTTTCTTATTGCCCTCTGTCATGCAAAATGTGTGTCATCTAATTGCCTGTTTGTGCTTTGTGTGTGTGTGTGTGTGTGTGTGTGTGTGTTTGTGTGTGTGTGTGTGTGTGTGTGTGTGTGTGTGTGGGTTTTTTTGCGGTCCGTTAGCAAAATATCTCATCCCCGTTACTCTGAGCACTAATATTCTCTGTAAGTTCTGATGTTTTTATGATAATTTCTGAGGGGTCTGGTCTTTTTCTCTAAGCAAAAACTTTGGTTTGAACACTGATGTTGTTTTATTTTCCATATAATCATTTAGGCTTTAAAAATAACACTTAGATTTTGACACAAAGCACAGAAGCGTCAAATGCTTTAAATTATTTTCAAACATCAGTGGAGGAATTAAAAAAACCCTTTTAAATTAATATATGAAAACAACACAGTATAAAACAACTGATCACATTTGAATAAATGGATTTACATTCAATGCTTTAGAAACCAGTCTAAAATAAAATTTTAAAAAGGTTTATTTTTGTTTTTTTACTAGCAAAGTGCATTCTGTAAAATAGATATTTTAATTATCAAATATGGTAAATGGTAAATGGACTGTACTTATATAGCGCCTTTCTATCTTATTTCAAGATACTTAAAGCTCTTTCCACTACAATCTGTGCCTCATTAACTCATTCACACAGCACTCTGCTAGATCTCTACAAAGCTAATTGATCAAATAATCCTAATGAGACTAATCAGAGCTTTAGATCACATTCATACACTGATGGGACACACATCAGAGGCTATGAGGGGTTTAGTGTCTTGCCCAGGGACACTTCAGCATGTGACTGCTGGTGGATTCGAACCCCTAACTCTCTCATTGGAGGACGACTGCTCTAACCACTCAGCCACAGCCGCCCTGTTAATGTATTTGTTTGTTAATGTTGATAATATTTACTGGTGGACTGTACACTGGCTGATCTCTGGTGCCACAAATTGCTGCAAGTTAAAACATTTGTACATTTGAACATTAAATCTTGTATGATAATTACAGCAGCACGGTGGCGCAACTGGTAGAGCTGCTGCCTCTCAGCGAGAAGGTCCTTGGTTCAAACCCCTGTCCAGGGGCCTTTCTGGGTGGAGTTTGCATGTTCTCTCCGTGCATGCGTGGGTTTTCTCCGGGTGCTCCGGTTTCCTCCCACAGACCAAAAACATGCATGTTAGGCTGATTGGTAACTCTAAATTGTCCCTAGGTGTGAGTGAGAGAGTGAATGGTTGTTTGTCTCGTTTGTCTCTATGTGGCCCTGTGATGGACTTGCGACCCGTCCAGGGTGTACCCCGCCCCTCGCACAGTGATTGCTGGACATGGACACCAGCGACCCCCGTGACCCAAAATGGAATAAACGGGTAAAGAAAATGGATGGATGGATGATAATTACATGAATGATTTATTTTGTGTATGTCTCTCGATTCTTCCACCAGAAACACAAAGATCAGCGTGAGAGCTCGTTACCTGCAGTATGTGAACGTCAGCAGCTCTTCCAAAGATTTTCTTCTTCACAAGCGGAAGAGTTTGAAGATGTCGAGCCGCCGGAAGTCCACCACACCTTGCATGGTGCTGTCTTCTGATGTGGTGCAGCAGGAAGTTGTGGAGGAGAAACTTGAAAGGACAAGGGAGGAAGAGGCAGGGGATGAGGAGACCAAGGGGAAGGAGGGAAGTGAGGCGGTGCCGACTCCAGAGCAGCTCGATCAGGCTGTTGTAGTCGTCCCCACTCCACCAGACGCAGGTCAAGCTCTCACACTGTTGTGTAACTTTCTGATTTAAATCAAGCCTTGGAGTAAATCCTGAATGTCCCAGACCTAACTGTTAATATCCTCACTGCAGATGAAGGCAGTATCTGTGATGCTGAAGATAGCCAAGTCGTTGGCCCCTCACAGTGCACAGTCGATCCGTCTGAGGATCAGCAGAACCAGGAACCCCAGAGCGATTCACCTGAGGAGGACCCTGCTGCAGCTTCGGCCATCTCTCTCAGCAAGACCCCCATCATGAAGATGAAGACCAAATCTGAACCCAAGAGAATCCCCGTGTCCCTGAAATCAGCAGATGAGACAGGAGACGGTTTGGGAGGAGGTGATGGGGAGCTGGGTGGAGAGCAGGAGCCCATTGAAGCCCCTCTAGGACCGATGACGCCTGTGGAGATGTTACTGCATGACTCCATGAAGTTCGGTGGAGGGGGTATCCTGGTCAGCCCCCCGTCAGAGCAACACAGAAAGACGTCAGTTTTAAACCCAACAGTTCTGCCTGCGGGCTTGGCTCAGGTACAGAGTTGGTAACTGTTTAGTGCATTTTCCAGTGGAACACCATTTTAAACCTCATGGGGAAAGTAGCTCTCAAATTTACCAGCAGCCTACAGAACTAAAACCTGCTGAGTGATCTGGGAAAATTAAAATGCGATAATTAAGTTTAGTAATAATGTCAGCCTTACAGCTGATGGATGTTCACGAACAGTTCAGTAGACAGGAACACTGAATCCATCTCATCACTTTGTTTCCTTTGGTCTGCAGCAGCTGGAGTTCTTCACCATTTTTCTCGCTGTGTTTTGTTATTCCAGGTGCTTTCTGCCTTTCAGGCCCAGCAGAACCCAGCAGCAGCTCAGCCCCAGCTTCTGATCCCCCTCAGCAGCATCCCCTCTTACAGCGCAGCTATGGACACCAACCCCCTCCTGAGCAGCACCTACAGGAAGTTCCCTTACCCCTCCATGGCAGAAATCAGCAGCCTGGCATCACAGACACAGTTCACAGAGGAACAGATCAAGGTAAAGATGTTATTGGGACTCATTTGTTTATATTGTTAGTTTATTTATTAAGCTAATATCTGTGTTCACAAAAGACTTACGTCAAAGTGTTCCCTGCTCAGGTGTGGTTCTCAGCCCAGCGACTGAAGCATGGTGTCAGCTGGACTCCGGAGGAAGTGGAGGAGGCCAGGAGGAAACAGTTTAATGGAACCGTGCACACGGTGCCACAGACCATCACTGTCATCCCTGCACACCAGCTGTCAGCTGCTGCTAACGGGCTGCAGTCCATCCTGCAGACCTGTCAGATTGTGGGCCAGCCTGGTCTTGTGTTTACACAGGCAGGTGGAATATGTGGCTCTCTACCTCTTCTACGGGCTGACTGCCTTTTGACTTTTATTTCACTGATCATGTTAACAGAACCACATCAGAGCACTTTATACATCAGAATTTCTTCTCTTTTTGTTTGTAGGTTGGTCCAGGGGGGACTCTTCCAGTGACCAGTCCCATCACATTGACTGTGGCAGGGTTGCCCAGTCAGTCTCAGAGCTCCAGCAGAGTTTCCTGTCAGTCCACTTTGGCAAACAGTGAACTGAAACGGGCCACCACAGTCCAGCCTCCATCTCTGTCTCCACAGGTTGGGACATAAAGTTTAGGATTTCTATACCTCATTCAGCTCAGCACAAAATAACCATGTGTGTGTGTGTTCCACTTTTATGTAATGTACTTACAAACACATCAATGTTTGAAGAACTTTGTAGTAGGGATGCACGATATTATCGGCATGGTATCGGCCGATATTAGCGTTAAAGTTCAATATCGGACATCGGCCATTCCATCAAAATAACTCGCCAATATAAAAGACGCTGTTTTTGTATGACAACCCAGTGACAAGGATGCCTGCAGCGGCTGCACAACGTGATGAGGTCACGTGTGCCTACATGATCTGATCACGGTGGAGAGGACAAAGTCAAAATGTTGGTGGTGTGGAAGGGTTTTTTGTCGGATTCTGAAGATTTATGGACTACATTGAGCCTCACTACATCGTCCACAGTCGGAGATATTTTTCCGACGTAACCTTACCCGAGTTACAAGCCGTCATTTCCGACATCATTGAGAAGCTAATAGCTGATAGCACGACTTGTTGGGTGAGTTTTACCACAGACATTTGGACATCATGTTAGCCCATTAGCATGATTAGTCTTAAGGCACAATGAAAAGACAAAAACTTTGAACTTAAAAAGTCTGTCCTTCATGCACATGAGTGCAAAGGATCCCACACTGCAGCTAGGAACCTGGAACAAGCCTCCACAAGTGAGACAGCATCACAGGTGACTAATGCTAATAATAACATTTAACACTTTTCATTTAATATAAGCTAAAATGCTATGTATATCATATGGCTCTTACTGAATATGTCACCAGCTCTACTTCTGTTACACAAGTTTTGTAGCAAATAAGCCTAAATAAGAGGGCTATGTTCTAACAAAGGAACGTATATAAAAAATATCGGCATTGGTTATCGACCAGATAAGTTTTAACATATTGGATATCGGCCAAAAATCCAGTATCGTGCATCCCTACTTTGTAGTCAATTAGTTGCTTCAGTGTGTAAAATGGTGCAGCAGAAACATTTAATAGATAACTTTTTCTCTCTGCCTAAGGAGAACTCAGCCCTCTGTGCTGATGCATTCAGCATGCGACCGAAGAAATCCAAAGAGCAGCTGGCAGAGCTGAAAGCCAGCTACCTGAAAAACCACTTTGTCACAGATGCAGAGATTGCTCGGCTGATGAAACTCACCAACCTGACTAAAGGCGAGATCAAAAAATGGTTCAGTGACACTCGGTACAACCAGCGCAACTCCAAGAACAGCCACATCATTGTTTTCCACAATGGAGGGAGCAGAGGAGGGGGCGGTGCTGCAAACATCCCCATTGTTATTGACTCGAGTGATGAGACCCCCACATCTCCTCATCCTCCACACACTCCCCCTGTGAAGGAGAAGGAGACCCGAGCTAAAACGTGGAACCCTTTCCCAGACTTTACTCTGCAGAAGTTTAAGGAGAAGACGCCTGAGCAGCTGGTGGTGCTGGAAGAGAGCTTCGAGAAGAGCAGCGATCCATCAGATGAAGAGCTGAACCGTCTGAGGACCGAGACAAAACTGACACGAAGGGAGCTCGATGCCTGGTTCACTGAGAGAAGAAAAACTCCAGCTGTAAACGCTTCCTCTCCTGAATCCTCAGAGGGAGGGAAAATGGAGACAGAGGGTGCAAAGACAGGAGACGGAGAAGAAACAGGAGGAGCAGCCACCTCTCCTCCATCAGCCTCCTCATCTCGAAAGGGGAGTCAGACTCCTCCCGGCAGCAGGAAGAAAGACCTAAAGGAAAAAACTAAAAAGTCTCCTGAGCAGCTCCACATTCTGAAAAGTGCTTTTGTAGGAACGCAGTGGCCCACACCGGAGGAGTACGATCAGCTGTCAGAGGAGACCGGCCTCCCTCGACACTACATCGTCAGCTGGTTCGGCGACTCTCGGTACTCCTGGAAAAATGGAAACCTGAAGTGGTTCTTTCAGTACCAAAGTGGCAACGTCAGCGGACCAAACAGTGGCGCTGGTAATAAAATGGGAGGTGGCAGCGGCAGTCGAAAAAGACGCGGTCGGAACCGTGGATGGGGGCGTTCCAAAAACAAGAGGCAGTCCAAGAGGTCCTCATCCTCCTCCAGCACAGATGTTCACAGATCACCTCCATCTAAGAAATTCAAGACTGGGAGGGAAATCCTGAAAGAGTACTACTTGAAGCACCACTTTCTCAACGAGCAAGATCTGGATGAGCTTGTCACCAAAACCAACATGAGCTATGAGCAGGTACTAAAGTTTTTATTAAAAACATTTATTGTAGCTCCAGAGACCTGTTATCCTTTTGGTTCATAAAAGTAAGATGATACATAAAATGTACCTCATTGTCTTTATACTTTCAGACACTCAACAATGATTTTTTTTATTTTTGAAGTTTCACATTAGTGGAAGCACAAGTATCTCTGGTTCTGGTCCCAAGCCCAGGGAAACAGTGAGAGTTGTGTCAGGAAGGGCATCTGACATAAAAACACTTTTTCCAAAACTATAATGCGAGTTCATGGAAGCGACACCATACCTGATCGGTCGAGACCCGAATTAACTACAACCACCACCAGTGCTGTTCAATTCAATTCAGTTTATTTATCCAGCACCAAATCACAACAGAAGTTGTGTCACAACCTAGCTCTGGGGTTGCGACAAAAAAGAGGGAAGATGACACAAAATATGGTTTTATAAATGTTTATTGTAAAATGCAAGTTTGATGACCAGATGGAGAAGCTCAAACCTGTAAAAAAAAAAAGAGTTGAATTAACCAAAACCAGACCAAGTAATCTAATCAAGCAAACTTAACTAAATAAACTAACCAAGCAGACCAGGCCAAAAACAAACTAAATCCAGACAAATCAGCATAACCAAGACAAAACATAACCCCAGGAAGACCAGCAAGCAAGGAGAGAGGACGGCCTAATGTCCTTCTCCTTTGAGCAACACAACACCTCCCTCTTTATACTGGGCTGAGCCAGCAACTCGGGTGTTCCCAATAATTACCTGCTGCACTCTGCTCAACAGAGCTGTCACTGCAGCAGCTCAGTCAGTCACCTGACAGGGTCATCACAGTTAACAAACAAGGTGCCGGCGGAAATTATTCTACTGTTAGTTCAAGACCACGAGGAGGGAAACATGTCAGGAGATGGAGGGAGAAGAGGAAAGTCAAGAATGTAGGACTGAGGGTGGCAACTCTAAATGTGGGGACAATGACAGGCAAAGGTAGAGAGCTGGCTGACATGATGCAGAGAAGGAAGGTAGATGTTTTATATGTCCAAGAGACCAAGTGGAAGGGCAGCAAAGCTTGCAGCATTGGAGCAGGGTTCAAACTGTTTTATCATGATGTGGATAGAAAAAGAAATGGAGTAGGGATGGTCCTGAAGGAGGAGTTGACAAAGAATGTAGTAGAGGTGACAAGAGTGTCAGATAGGGTGATGTGCCTGAAGGTAGAAGTAGAAGGTCTGATGCTAAACATCGTCAGTGGTTATGCTCCACAGGTTGGATGTGATGAGGAGGAGAAAGATACATTTTGGAAAGATCTGGATGAAGTGATGGAGAGTATTCCCAGGGAGGAGAGAGTGGTGATCGGAGCAGACCTGAATGGACATGTTGGTGAAGGAAACAGAGGGGATGAGGAAGTGATGGGTAGGTTTGGTGTCAAGGAAAGAAACCAGGAAGGACAGATGTTTGTGGATTTTGCCAAGAGAATGGAAATGGCTGTATTGTGTTGACACACTTATTTCCAGAAGAGGGAGGAACAGAGTGACCTATAACAGTAGAGGAAGGAGTATGCAGGTCAACTACATTCTGTGTAGAAGAGGAAACCTGAGGGAGATTGGGGACTGTAAGGTTGTGGCAGGTGAGAGCGTGGCCAAACAGCATCAGATAGTTCTTTGTAGAAGTCAGAGTCAGAGATTTTTTATTGTCATTCGCACCTCATGTGGTACATGTGGTGGAGCGAAATTATGTACACAGGGTCCCAGTTACATCCAACAATAAAATGTATAAGAAAAACAGTAATAACATCTAAGATATGAACTAAGAAAAACATCAACTAAATATACACTAAGCACTCATAAAACATTGAACATCAGCACAAACATGAACATGAATCTGTGAGCAGATGTGCACGCATGAACACATCAACATTGAAACAGATCAGCAGCAACATGAAACAGATCAGCAGCAACATGATGTGGTTTTTCACAGTGATTATTCTAGTTAGAGATTCATGAGTCTAACAGCCTCAGGGTAGAAGCTGTTCCTCAGTCTAGTGATTCTACACTTAATGCTCCTCAACCTCCTTCCTGAGGGGAGTGGGGCAAAAAGTGTGTGTGCTGGGTGAGTGGGGTCCTTCAAGGTGCAGGTGGCCCTCTTCCTGCATCTGGAGGTGTAGATGTCTGTGATGGTGGGGAGACTGACTCCAACAGTTTTCTGTGCAGCCTTCACCACTCTCTGCAAAGCTTTTCTTTCTGCAGCTGTGCAGCCTCCATGTCACACATTGATGCTGGAGCACAGGATGCTCTCCACTGCACACCTGTAGAAGGAGGTGAGGACTGAGCTTCCCAGACCAGCTCGTCTCAGCCACCTGATGGAGAGTCTCTGATGAGCTTTCTTGATCAGGGTGGTGGTGTTGTTGCTCCAGCTGAGGTTGTTCAGATGCACACCCAAGTACTTGTAGCTGGAGACCACTTCCACTGCAGATCCTCTTATGTTCAGGGGGGTGTAGATGTTTTTGTTCCTTCTGAAGTCCACAATCATCTCCTTTGTCTTCTTCACATTGATGTGAAGGTTATTCTCTTTGCACCAGCTCTCCAGGTGTTCCACCTCTTGCCTGTAGCTGGACTCATCATTGTTTGTGATGCATCCCACCACCACTGTATCATCTGCAAACTTTACAATGTGACAGCCTGGATGGGTAGCTGCACAATCATACGTGAGCAGAGTGAACAGGAGGGGGCTCAACACACATCCCTGAGGAGAGCCAGTGTTGAGGGTTATGGTGGAGGAGGAGAGGTTGTGGATCCTCACTAACTGTGGTCTGTTTGTTAAGAAGTCTAGTACCCAGTTGCAAATGGAGGTGCTTAGTCCTAGTGTGGATAGTTTGTCCATCAGGGTTTGGGGGATCATGGTGTTGAAGGCGGATGTGAAGTCCACAAAGAGCATACGGACGTAAGAGTTTTTCTGCTCCAGGTGGTTGAGTGCAGTGTGGACCACAGAGGAGAT